TAATCTGATGAGGTAAAGTGAATGAGTCTTTTGTTAAGTCAGAAACGAGCAAAATTTTATTTACACAAAAGGATGAATTTTTGAAAGAAAAAAAGCGATTTTAATGTCAATCACAACGGAACTCAGAAGTCCTTTGACGTCTTGTAGACAGAGACATAAGCTCGATACCTCGTCAACGTTCAATCACGAACCGAATTTTCTGGCAACCTTGAAATGGACGAAAACGGTATTAAAAGGCGGTGCGCAATCGGTGAGTTTTTTTTTTTTTTATCGGGGGTTCGCTTGGCGGCAGAAAAAAGCGAAAAGCTTGCATTGTATACCTTATTGCCGGCGCATCCTTGGCGAAGAAGAAGTTTTGGCTTTGACTCTGCACTAGTTCCTGCTTCACACTGGGACGGTACGGGATCACAGACGCAAAATTCACTGGAGGGCCGCCATCTGGCGGCTTGGCGACGAAGTCCGTGCCGACTTTCCCACTCGACGATTCCGTCGAACTAGACTCTCGATCGTCTTTGTGCCCGACGTCGGATTTCTCAGCCTTCGTCTCCACCGGCTTTGCTTCGTCATCGGCGCCGAGTTGGAACCTGACGCTGCCTTTCCGTTCCAGCGGCTCGGCTTTCTTCCCGTCCTCCGGCGATCGACTCACGGGTTGCTTTTCCACGGGTCGGAGCGGGACCGCCGCCTCCCAACAGCGGCCCCTGCCCCAGCTCGAAACTCCTCCCCATAAGTCCCTAGCCTCGCAGTACGCCTCAGCGCGAAAACAAGGAAGGTCAAGCTACAAAAAGAGGAGATGGACATGAAGCCAATCGAAAAAAAAACCCACGCTTTTAATTAAAGCTTGGCACCCAAAAACAGTCTACAGTACATTCAGGAATCAGGACTGACCCCATGTCCTCGCGCAGGTTTTCTACTGATTACCAGATTTGCTCGCTTATCATGCGAACATTTAACTTTAAAACTCTAAAAGGGAACAATTGGGGTGCGTGTCACACAAACGCGAAACTTTTAAACCAAAATTATTCTTGGGTTCGTGCCATACTTGACTCAACTGGCAGAAAATTTTGGTCAGAACTCAACGACGCAATTTTTCAAAATCTCCGAAGAATAAAAAACTGAATTTAGCCTTGAATACGGTTCAATTGGTTCTCAATTCATTTTTCAATTGCTAAAAGGAAAGTATTCAAAATTTCTTTTTGGCTAACATACATTTTTAAAATACAGTACAAAACGTTTCAACTATTTTTCAAAAGCCCAGTGAGTGCTTCACTAGAGAGCGTGTAGGACTCGAGCAAATACGATAGCGAACTTGAAGATATCTTGAGATGGTACTCATATTCGGTTCTCATTTGTTTTCCATGAGGTACCAAATTCAGCAGAACTTTCCGATTTTAGCAGGTGTGACGCTAGTAGAACAGTCAGCCACGACATACTACCATAGTGCGGACAATGAACGCGAATAAATAAATAGAACATAAAAATTAAAACATCGCGTCCACAAGAGCAACAGAATTCATCAAATCATAGACGTGATCTCCTCACAATGATTTTTCCCCCCATCACGTGCATGTATTCAGTATTCAACGGAATCAGCAGCTCTTTTAGAACATTTTCTTCCCATGGAAATACATTTTTGAATTTTCCGTGCGACTATAAGAGGATATGCGGAGTTGGGGAATAATGAAATGTCTTGATCGGACATTTTACCAGCAAAATTCAGGCCCTTCAGGAATTCGTAGCAGCGGAATTTTCTGAGGCCTTTTGGTTACTATTTCCTTTAAGATAAAATCAATAAAACAAATGATTTTCTACATTTTGAAAGGAAGTGAAAGACTAATTGAACAAAAGAACCCCTGCTTCCAAGTTCAGCAAGCTGAAAACTCATTGAGAAGCAAGTATAGAACCAGAATATCCTCATTTCCATTTTCCTGCATTTTTTTTTCTTACTTATCCTCACTGCGAAAATGATTGTTTCCTCAACTCAAAACCTCCCTAAGTCGAATTTTTTTTTCTGGTCCCTAAGGATCCGACTTAGAGAGGTTTAACTCCACAGCGGAATTATTTTTTCAACAGTAGCAGAAAATGCGTTAGCATCAGAAAACTTCGTACCGCTGCTGTTCTCAGCACGCGTTATCACAGGATGAGGTCAACGTTTCCGAAGCGAACAACAACCTGTGACGATGCGATAGATCCGCTGTGACCGCGTTCTTGCAACGCGAACTTGTCTCCACACCTATACAAGTTTCATGCCGATCGATTCAGACCCGCAGGAAAATAAAGTACATCGAACAAGGGAATCCGCAAAAGTTTCTTTAAAAATATATATACGTAAAGGCGAAGAGCCAGACAAGTCAAAGGGCTTCTGTACCACAGTGAAGTACTGTACTATGGATGAACCGTTGGATAACACGGCACTGGGCATCAGACACGGAACAAAACTGCTCGTGACAGGATGCATCACGCTCACGTTATACGCATGAACATGCAGCGATGCTTGAATGATAAATCTCTTGAAAACTTCGCCATCAACGGGGGAACATTACATTCAAAAAATAAAAAAAATCAGTAAGCCAGGCAGAAGTAGAACTGTAGGACTCATTGTTCGGCTTTGAATAGGNATTCTAACTCCTGCGGACTTGGGAAAAATTCGGGAACCTTCTTTTGTCGAGTGTTGTGTGAAAAGGAACCTTGTGATATTTGAACTATTTTTTCTATCCCTTAAGATTCATTTCTAAGAACCAACCAAAGAAACCTTTCAGTTCGAAAGAACTTATAAATTTGGATTCCTCTCCAATTTTGAAACTCCTTCTGTACTCTCTTGAGTCTTATAAAACCAAAGAAATTTCTTTTGAGATCCTGACTCAATATTTCTAGTCCTCCTTTTGTCGAACTTTTCGGAAAAACCTTCTCTTATGAGTGTGTGTGTGTATATGCGAAATTCTGTGTGAATTACTTGTATTTGTACCTGTCTGAAAGAAAGGTCTGCGCTAGTGGGAGAAATCCCGGTCGGTTCGCGCCCGGCCAATTGCTGTGTTTGATTTATTCAACGATAAATTGCTCTAATTTGAAATTCTTGACCTTTTGAAACTCTGCCAAAAAATTCACAATCAAGGTGTAAGGCTTGATAAATTTATTTTCACATTGTAAAACCTTACAAACTGAGCAATTCTGAGTTCAGGTAAGATTTAAAGCAGAACAGGGATCGCTCCTTGCATTGCCAGCTAGTTTAAAGTCGTCGAGCCCATTAATTGGCAGCAAAATCACGAATTTCAAGGACAAATCTGACAAGAGCATCCGGCAAATTTCATCAGCAAAGTGGCACGGAAGTCCCAATGCTGCTGGCAAGGTCAATTTCATTCGAAGCAAACAATATCAAGTCACTATTCGAAGTATGCCATTAAAATGCTTTCAGTTTGAAGACGTACACTCAATCAAATATAAAAACTGGTACACCTTTCTCCGCTCGGTAGGACGAATTTTATGATCAACTGAAGCACATGACTTGAAAAAGCTTCTTCTTGAATGAAGTTCGCGACAAACAAGTCTTGGACTTTCCGCAACTTTTGTCTTTCTATGAAACGGTAACAAATTATTGCGAGTTTCACAATCGATGACGTTTTATCAAACACATTGTTATTCCTATCCTGTGAGACATTAGATGGACTCAATGCTAGAAGAAGCTAAAAATAACGAAGGCAGAAACAGTAAGGAATCAGTACAATTCATCATAGAAGTGAGTCAAATACCTCACATACGTGCTTTTATTTTGAATTTTTTTACAAGAAAAATAATTTGAATGTCAGAAGTACACAGATTGATAACTGATGAAAAAATGTTTAAAAAGACGATGAAATACCATCAGTTCCCAAGAGTATAAGAAAAACCCCTCTAAACGGTTCAAATGGCACATACAGTACTTACGTATGTGCCATATGATTTTATTTTCAGAATATGGATGCCTTATTTGTAAAAGAAAACCAAGCTCAAACTTACAGTACTTTTCGAAGATCAACGAATTTTCCAGGACAGGTATTACGATCTCCTCCATTAAAATGCCCACATGTTCGTTAGTAAACGGATTTGCGTAAAACGAGTAAACGAAGAACTGTGTTCCTTCGTCCTTCGGATCTGAAGAAAGTTAGCGAAAAGCCAGAGCGGCTTGAGCGACGCAAGTGGAACATGTCAGTGGAAATCATCTGGACCGCGGGTACCACGTTTCCGGGAGGTGCAAATTATTGCTTCCCGCGTTGCCCACGGAATTGCCCTGGCCCGTTGAACAGCAGCGCAACTTTTCGTCACGGGAAGTTTGTTTCGAGGACACTCAAGCGTTTTAAAACCAGGAATTGTCACTACTCAATGAGCTTTGCGTCACTATAAATTTCGCTCAACAGAGTGTTTGCTGAGGGGCTGTTCGAGCACCGACGAGTTCAGGGACGCGAGAAGCCAACTCATTCAGCAGACAAATAATGAGGGTAGCCAGACATTCCATACACGGTGCAACACCATTGCAGGTAAAATCTCATTAGAAAACAAAAGCAACTTGTAGGGAGCAACAAAATACATTCAACTTCCTTCAAGAAAATGGTATACATTTCAACAAACAACAAAATAGGGTTCACAGAAGTATTTTCATTTCCAGTAGACAGCCCAATAAATAATTGCAGCATGCTAGGAAAAAAAGTTTAAGAAAACGAATCGATAAAAAAATGTAAGAAAAGACATGGCAAAATCCCGAAAAAATCGATTCGTCGTAACAAATCTCGCAAATTCGTTGTAAAAGGTTTTTCGTTGCATAATGTCTGAGGTATTTCCACTGGGGCTTGATAATTATTACTCTAAAATATAAAAAATTCGCTATAACATAAACTTTCTCGGCTTTAATGATTCACCTTTCCATTATGGCTACAAAAATGAATAAAATCTGAAGGAAAAAAACCGAAGACGCAAAAAGTCGAGTGGAGAGAATAATTATTAACGAAATGCAAGCCCTTGGTCAACCCATAATCACGGGAACTCATTGACGAAGAGAAGAGCTTGAATAAGTGAGTAATCAGCAATTTTGCGCCGGAAACAAACGAAGAATTTTTCGTCACGGTTGTCGGTTTCGCAGAATATGGACAAAGCTATCTTGGGATCGAGCTTGAGAACGCAATTTCTGCAGGTGATTATCCGTAGTGGGTATTTTTCCAAGACTGCGTTAATGCGAGCAGTTGGCGTATGCTTCTACAGACAACCACGGGATCCAAATACCAGAAGAAGTGCTTTGAAAAGTGAGAAACCACACACCGCAACACGAAAATGTCCGATCGATGTAAGCACATAAAGAAAAATGAATTTTTCATACTTCGTCTTTTGTACAATTTCGTCTTGTCCTGCATATGTTCATGCACGAAAACTTGCTTGAAACGAATTTGAACTTATATGCACAAAGTAAAATGAAAAGTTAGCTTTTTAGTTCACAAGAAAGAGGAGTCAACCCTGCCATTAATTAAATTTAAAAAAAACGAACCGTGAAAGAAAAGAAAAACTCTTGTGCACACTTGACCCACGAGGAACTTCAGGGGCATCAAGAATTTCGAGAATATTCCTTAGAACTCGAAAACAGTACTTCGAAAATTAACTTTCGAGGAAGAAAAAATACTGTAATATAAATGTTTGATATTTCGAGAATACGAAATGCATAACAAGGCAGACGAACCTCAATTGCTCGACAACTTGTGCATTTTGCTTCATCGACACTCTCCAAAAACTTTTCGTCGCGCCTTCAATTATATTTAAAGGATTCAATGAAAAAATAACATGGACGAGAATGTACAGTCCCGTACTTGAAAAAGTGTCATTAATTTACTATATATACACTAGAAGAGGGCATATGAACAAAAACGCACATTTCCTTTAAAGGTAGTCAACGATGCGTGTTTCGAGACGGTGCCATCCCGTTATGGACTTTTCGACATTCCATGTTGAAAAGTTCGTAAGTAGAATACCTAAAACTACCCTTAATAAAATGAACTCAACATCTTCACGCGTAAAAAAAATTCGATACTGTGCGTGAAGTGAGTTCCAGAAGAAGAAAAAAAGATGCACATATCATCGCAAAAAACAATTACAAAAGATAATTGAGTCGAGGCAGCGTCTGCGACAACTTTGAAAAACGACCTCGCTTTGAATTCTTCCTCAAAGCCAGTCGCGGCGCGGGAATTAAAATTACCCGAGGATAAATACGTATATCCCCCGAGGCGAAAGCAAACAACCCGCGGCCTCGCGGCAAGAAAAAGATAAAACAAAATGAGAAATAAAATAAACCCACGCGACGGGGAAATGGAACAGGTCGGAATCAAGAGCAGAGCTTGACAAATTTTTCTCAAGTGCCCGACAGCCACCTGGTGGACGCATAGCATCATCACAACAACACGCAGATTCTTCATCAGATCTCGCAGTTCGTGAGAACCGCGAGAAATCGTCGGCATCTCATTTCCTTTCAACATCTGACTGCAACGCGCCGATGCGTTCTACTGTTCCGCGGTGGCAACCTGTCAAGACGGAACCATGTCAAGCAAAACGTCACCGCACCCGATTTCCGTTCGCGACGTCTTCTGACGCATTCACGGCCTCCTTCTACACCTCAATCTCCAAAGGTTTTTTAGCAAATTTTACAGCACGATCCAAGGAACTGGAAACACACTTGATTTATTCGCCAAAGCCCTTGCTGGAAGGAATATACCGGTATATACTGTATATCTAAAAGGCATCATATGAAACGCGCCGAACTTCAACTTGCGGCGACTTTCGCAACATTTCCAATCATTCACAGTCTCATTTCCAAGTCGCTTTCAAAAAGTACGCTTCTGTAAAATTCCCTGTTCAACACGTGCATTCACGTCAAAACCCAAGTTCAAATAAATTATGCGGCAAATAACCCTGGGCCAATAATGTCGCAAAAATAAATACTGCATTGATTTTACTACAATACGCCCTTCAACTTTGCAGGGGAACTTCAACGTGTGACAACTTTCTCAACGACATTTCAACTCTTCACCGTCCTCTTTTTTTCAGATAGATTTCTAAAGGTTACTGCATCTCTCACCACTTGAATTGACAAGACTTCCTCAATTAACACTCGAAGTTGCTTGTGAATAGATTTTTACAGAAGTTCTTGTGAATGATATTCAAACATTACAGTACTTCAACTGAAACTAGATGGAATTTTACTTTCACTATATTCATGATCATCGCGGAGCCCTTGTGAAGTTCACGCGGCGCCCCAAGGGCTCCGCGGGCACAGATTCTAAGCCATGCCCGAAGAACCCCGCCAATGTCGGTCAGTGAAAACTGGTCGAAATCGAAGAGCTTTCCATATAACACCGGGATACTACAGATTATCGAGGGCAAACCGCCTCGCAAAAATGGAAGCGACGAAAGAATTCCTGGGCGAGATTTCAAAAGCTTATACAGTAACAATTTGCGCTGCTTCGACGCGGAACGCATTTCTGCTCCCATGAAACATTTCTGGGTGTGCCGTACTCTTGCCGACACTTGATCACTGCATAAAATGTTACTCTTTTCCGAAGAAACCACGCCTTGGATTTACGATATTCCACGAATAACCGAGCGCATGAAACTGGAATCACGTGTCAGCAGAAAAATAAATAAAACAACCGACCCTTTCATGTGCATCATTCAAACCCGGTAAGTATCCATCGATTCCACTCGGGCTAGCACGCGAAGACCGCATTGAGGGGAAATCAACCAGAAATTTTCCCTGAAGAAATCCAACAGCAGTCATCAAAATCTCGCCACGCCCAAAAAGCCGAACTTTCACGCCAAGGAGGGAAAAAAACTGACAAGCTGAGGGAACACAGTTGTTTTTCATCAGGATATTTCGGTCCAGGCAAGAAAAGTTCGGCGAGGGTTCTTAATCGAAATGAAATCACCGGGGCAAAAGATAAGCATTTCATAGAAGTTCGAAAAAAACTGCGAATTTCACTAGGTAGGCTATCACCTTTCATTTTCACCGATCTTCTACGGAAAATAACAGAATACTCACGGAAGTATCTACATTTCTCCCAATAATACAATAAAAATAAATCATCTTCGATGAGAAATCTGGTACGTCACCGAAAGCACATTACATTTCCCGAGCATTTTGTGCGCTATTGCGAAGTACAAGCTAACAAAAACATCCGCAGATGAAATGACACCGAACAGGAAATTCTCGAAAATAAATAAATGTTTACCTTATGAACAAAGATTAACGGAAAATAGTCAAGGGATAATGCTGTGTGAAAGTTTAAAAAGTCTATATTCGAAGAAAAAAAAATCTCCTTGCGTGGGATTCATACACTTCCAACGAGGATGAAAATATAAATGCTTCGGGTTTATCTGAACGCGTAGAATGAAGTGAACTACACTTTGAAGGGGACCTTTGGTCTACAAAATTCTCTCCCGAGAAACTGTTATTCTCCAGAAACTACAGAATGCTTCCAAGAACAACGTTCGCAATAATTTTTTAATTCACTCTCGAAGCTCTTTTGACATGAACTAGGAGCATACCAAAGGTGTACCTATTTCGCCTTTCAAATAATTTCATGGGGTCTAAACCCTGAAACTTCCGATCATCCGATGTTCGCCCCGAGTTACGGACGCTCAATTTCAGCCATTCATTTTTTTTCAGTTTGACACGTTAAAAATGAACGTGACCTCGTCGAGGAAAGAGCTCTTCCGGAAAACGTTGTTCCTTCCAGCAAGAGCAGTTGAGTGATGAGGAGATGCAGATTGAAAAGCCGCTCGGTTTAGGAAGCTAATTTATTCCCGAATGACGGATGTGTGCAGAGGGACAAGGTGCCCGCAGGGGATGCGAGCAGGCAAATGAAAACATCCCGGACTCGCGTTGCAATCAGACCGAAACGGGAAAGGACACCCTGTGTGTGTCCAATCAACAAGCCAACGAAGGCTCTCGATCACTCGAAGCGCTCTTCATGCGACTTTACAGACTTTAAAGTACGCTCAAGCAGACACGAAGAAGTAGGTAATCCAGTTATAATTGTATCCTAAACGAGACTCGGAGAAAATGCAAACTAGAATCCGAACGTCACACATGATCATAGGTGTGCAACTTGAAAAAAAAAAGAATTATTGCTCCACTAAAACTGTTTCTCCGACTTTGATGAAGCTTCGCGAGAGAAGAAATTACACAGTTCCGTGAAATGTCAACATGACCTAATTCACACGCTTTATCTGCATCCTCTAATCCGAAATTAGACTCACGCAAACAATAAATATTCAGTCATTTGTCTTTTGTTCCGACAGACGCATTCAAGAAGCATCCAAGAGAAATTAAAAATATCCAGGGCTAACATATGGTGATATTTGGAACACAAGGAAAATCTGAGTTTCCTTCAATCGCAAATCTCACCGAAATCCAGGGATACAAGAAAATATCATACAGAAAATAAATCATTTTTCTTTGAGCTAGAATTATATGACAAAAATAAAATGAAAACTGAAGAAAATATAACGCAGTATTCCCATCAGCCTTTAAGCTTCCTCGCAACACTGGCCGAGAAATTTTAAATTTATCTCGAAATCGTAGCGGCCGTAAAATATATACAGAAAATCCCAAACCTAGAACACTTACCACATTAAAAATAATTTACTTTCGCTCAGCGAATATTATTATTTTTTGAATTTTACCATTTTAAGGTATCGTGCTGTTGGGGTTTGACTATGGGAACCAGGGTGCATCCATGATTTCAACTCAGGTCAATGACATGGAAGTTAATTCTTGCATCACATTATTTTCCTCAAAGATACATTTCAGTTTCAAGTTCGTGACACAGTTCTTTGTTTCTCAGTCCCCTTGACCCGAGTCAGTGTTATACACCACAGATTGAAGATCCTAATTCTACTCCCTGCCGCTAATTTTTCAGGAATACACCGACAGGGGAAGATAGGGTAGCACGAAAAAGGAACTGACCTCGTAATAACGAATGTGAAGCAGGAGATGCTTCTTGAGAACCAAGATGTTATTCTCGTTGAGCACAGCAGATATTTTTCTTCGATTCGGCGGGACCTTGATATGATCGACAGGCAGCGACACCGGCAAAGACGGGATGGGCACCGGGTTTCTCGGGATCACGTCTTCCGAGCGGGATTTGAGTTTCGCCGCCGTCGCGGCGTCCACGTCAACATCCTCATCGTCAACCTGCTCTTCAAATTGAGATTTCGACGAAGAACTAGGGTTCTTGCGCAGTTTCCCGTCGCCGGTTTTTGCAGAGTGCAACGGGCTTTTCACAAACTGCAGATGCATATCGTGGATGCGATTGTCCAACTCTGTCTTCCAACTCACAGCCGTTTTCAACTGTTCGTCAAGTCGCTTTTTGTCCTCTATTGCCTGCCATGTAAAAAAAATCGGATTCCTCGTCAGCTAACTTCGAAACCAGGAACAGTATTACAATCCAACATTTTCAAAACAAAGCCTTTTGGGCACCAATGCGTTCTCTATGGAAAACTTGACATTTCATTTTCCGAGAAAATTCTACACAACTTTTGCTTATTTATTTCCTACTCTTTCTTTCTGCGCAATGTTGCGTCTGGGAAAAAGTTTCGTGCAAATGGTAGACTGACCACACAAAATCAAGACGGTAGATAGCGTCAGATGGATGAAGTGTGAATGGTAATTCGTTCGGAGCCTGACGAAGATGGATTGACTCACATAATTATCATCCGAACATTGAAAAATAAAGAGAGAATGATGGATGCATAATGAGAGCAGCTTCGTAACAAGCGAGTCTCTTAGAGTGGTACTTTCATCGCTTCCAGGTCAACCAGAACGTTCCGCATTTACCACGTCAGCCAAACTCGCTTTTTTTTTTCTTACGGAAAAAGGAAGCTTCTAAACTGGGAATACTTCGTTTTGCATCTACTATTATTCGATGAAAAGTTTCGAAACACCACAGGAATAAATTTCGTCAGAAATCTAGCTGTCGCGGCGGATCAAGATTCTTGAACCCCACAGAAAAATTTAACGCGCAAGTATTGAAAGAGCAAGTCGCATTTCGCAATCGACAAAAGACTGACCTTTTGGACCTTGTCGTTCAAGTACTCAATGAGAGACTTTGAGGACGTATTCTCCTGCTTCAGATCTGCGACTTCGTTTTTGAGTCGATCGCGCTCCACGCGCAAAGTTTCCAGTTCTGCAATAATATTTTCCACGCTAACAGGGGACGGCTCAGACGGCGCGGGTTCATTCAGCCGGGCACTCTTGCGCTGGGAATAAAAAAAAAAAAAAAAAAAAAAAAATCATGATCAAAATTAATACAGGTGCATTCTTTTCACAGCAAAACTAAAGGGACCAACAAAAAAAATCGCTGCAGAGGGAAGTTTGTCGTAGAGAACCCCTACAACATGGAAAAAGAACCCCATGGGACCAAAAATAAATTCGGCATACTGTACAGAGAAAATCGTTGGCAAAACGATCTTTGTTGAGAGTCCGCCTGCACTGTAATTTCTCAAAGAGTGCTTTTCCACGAAAAAAAAAATGGATGCAAAATCCAGGTGGAATTTTTCCGTGCCGAAATATTGCAATAAAAAATGTAGACACGCGTCATAAATCAGTAACAAATTGGACGCATGAATACCATTTTAGGATATAATGTATTAAAAAAATAAACGCTGAACCATGGAATTCGAGATCAAATAATCGCAGGATTTTTCTTTCGGACACGGCCTCTGATTTTCAGAATACATTATCTATTTCTTGAAAATTTGCATTACGTAAATCCCACCGCTTATTTACTCAACGTACTACTGACGCAAAACAAAATAATGCACAGTAATTTACACCTCTCCAGAAAAAATGGAAGAAACAAGTTCAAAGAGCAAGTAATAAAAAAAAGCAGAAATTACATTTGGAATGATAATACAATAATGTATTAAAAAATAGGCTATAGGATGCCGTTAGGTCATTTAGGTTTGGATCAACGATCGGTAGCTACCAAATCTGGGATTCCCGATTTTTCTTCCCGGCCTTTGATAATAGAGAAACTTTACCATCTTTAAAAGAAGATTCAGCCCAAATCTGAGATATAAACTCAAGTATCGGCCACACTAAGATCTAAGTGGTACATGGAATACATTTTCTCGACCATAGGTGGCGCCAGGGTTGTTTTGAGCATCCTTTCGGGAAAATCGGAAAAATGCGGCCGACGAACGTGCTTATTAAAGCCATTATAATTCGGTGTCCTTCCGCATTTTGCAATGGATTAAAAATGAGTCATTTCGGGAGATAAGAAAAATAATAAAAAATGCACCTGTATCACATCCAAAAGATTCCAGAGCTCGTCGTCGGACTTGGGCTCAGACCATCGGATATCAGGAGAGCTATCACTGTGGCCAAGTGGGACAGCGGCCAGAGACGAAGCGCGAATCGTGTTCACTGCTTCGCCACTAGACGAATTTTCCTTCGTCTCCGTGCTGAACCCGGAATCCTGAACGGGCGGCACGTGCGCTGGGTCCGAGTTACCCTGAAAATCGAAATGAAAAAAAAAATATCCGGGTTGAGTTTTTCACCATCCTTCTGTACGCAATCCATCAAAAGGCACACTTGTGCCACGATTACGACAAAAAACGTGAAATGACAACGGTTTGACGCGCTGCACAGCGTTACTGCTGCACCCCAGCCAAACGCTTGGCATAGGAGACTTTTTTATTTTTTACTCAAGGGACCAATTTTTGCTTCGGGTACCAGACTCCGAATCAGAATCTGAAAATATTTCGCGTTACAGTTCGTTAAATAAAATCGAAGTTGCCGCCAAAATATTCTTCGAAATGGAGTAACAAAATTTCCGATGCTCTCGGCTAAGTTTAGCATTGTTTTCCTGCAATCGGTTACTCTTCCATCCTCCAAAAAATCAAAGCAAGAGTCAGATATTTTCAAAAGTCACTTGTATATAAGCCTACAGCATAGCTTCCGAATTGGGATAACCAAGTACAATACTTGGAAATTGCTTGAATCTCATCACACGATCTGGAAATAATTGAATGGTTCCATTCGAGTGGAATGTTTTTGGAGGCATAATCATAAATGCCACGC